TCCCTGGTCTCTATCCACTAGATGCCAGTAGTACCTCCCAATTGTGACAACCAAAAATAACTCCAGACCATGCCAAACTTCCACGGGGGGCGGGGGGGGGGGAGGCAGAGCTCAGGTGGTGATGTGCAGCGCTGTTTTCCCCGGGTGTTGGGGACCGTAGGTCTAGAACATTGCCAGTCATTGTGGCAGGAGAGGAGCTGGATGTAACATCCCTTACTGCTCCCTAACACTTCAACCTGGAAGTGACATATGCCACTTTGGCCTCCAACCCATTGGCCAGAAGTAGTCACATATCCCCCACGAGGGAACATGAAGCTATTTGGTGAGCAGTGTCACTTTCAAGGCTTTCTGAGGACCTAGAACATATAATTTTACTTGTTTTAAGAGAGAAAATACAGTGATGAAGAGTACAAGTGCTGGAGCCAGAGTGCACATGGAGAGCCTGGCTCCCCCACTGACTAGCTGTGTGACCTTGGGCAAGTTACTCAACCTCTCTGGAGCATAGTTTTATCATCTGTAAGATGAGGATAATAAATAGAACAAGGCTTAAAGGATAATTGTGAATTTTAAATGAGTTTATACATGTAAAGTGCATAGACCACTATGCTATGTAATTGTTAGCAAGTATTTATTATTGTTGTTATAACTTTAATCTGCTGACTTCTGGTACAGCATCCTAAAGGAAGGCTAAAGTTTCTGACTCTAGTTAAGGGCCTCATAGGGAAAGAGGTTGTAATAATTTAGGTGTGCAATGGCCAACGTCCAGACTAGGATGATGATACTGGGCAAAGAAAAGGTGGGAAAGAGAGTGTGCAAGAGGAAAAAACCCAAGCCCAGATTTGTTCACCATCCAAATGCGATGGTTGAGCAGAGGATGGTTGGGTGTGGTTGACAGGGAATGCAAGTAGAGTTTGTAGAGAAATTAGGGTGCGCTGAACAGAGAAAGATGAGGAGCTGAAGTTCAGATGTGTTTTTGGGGAGTTGTCCAAGGCACAGGCGGCCATGGGAAAGGGAAGAATGGAGTCGCCCCTTACTGAGCATGTTTCAGGTGGTGGCATCTGAATGGTTTGGATTTCAATCTCAGCCCTAGCCTGCCATGTGGCCTTGGTGCTCTAGTTTCCTCATCAGCAAAATGGGGACAATAATGTGACAATCGTACCCTCTCTTAAGGTAATGAGGATTGGAGGGCATAATGCCTGTGCAGTGCTTGGAAAGTGGCATGTAGTAAATGATCAATAATGTTCATTTTTAGTTCATTAAGACTTTAATTGAGTAGCCTTTTGGGTGTTGTTTTTTAAGCAGTTTTTCTCAGTTTAATATAAATTTTCCATTGGTAGTAGTCTACAGGGAGGAGTCTACTTACGTAGTCCTCCCTGAGTTAAAAAGAATGAGCCTGTCACTGGGTCACTTTTAATATCCATGCTTTTCATTTTCTTGTTCTTCACCCAAATAGTCAATGAACAAATATTTTTAGCTTTGCAGAGAATAACAAGTTACAATGGGTTGAAAAGTCACCAAAATAGACCATTTTAAGGGCTAATTTAAGATCAGTGCTTCCCCTTTTAAAATGGCACACCACCTTGTAGTCATTGGCAGGAGCCACTGCACTTGCCTCTTGAAATACAGAATTATTTTTGTATCTGTTAAATGCACTTGTTAGCTAATTAGCTCTCTCCTTCAATATGTCTAATTTAAATTGCAGGGCCCTCAAGAGCATATATTCTACATTGTGTACCTGTGTTCAGTTACTCATGTGCTCTAGCATATGTAGTTAAGCATTTAGGGTACTTTTTATTTCACTGAGAATTTAAAAACTTCACAGATATTTCAGTAGGGTTTTAGAATTTTGCTAGTAATAGTACAAAACATGTATTGTTGAATTAAATGGATATTTGAGAACCTTCTATGTGCCAGGCTCTGTGCTAGGTGCTGTGTATGTTAACAGATGAGGTCCTCGTCCTCATGGTGCTTACAGCCTGGCTGAGTTTATAATTGACCTATTGTTGGGTTATTTGTCCTACTTTTGGATTATATGGCCTGCTAGCATATAATAAAGTGGTTAAGCCTTCCAATACCTTTTCAGGGTCCACATGATTCAGTTCTGTCTTCTTTATGGCTAGGATACCAAGTTAGGGTTACGTTCCTGATGATGCTGTTAATTTACCAGGTGCCTTTTATGAACTTAGGTTTCTTTATAAACTGCAGGTGATACTGTCTGCTCATCCTGTTTTGTGAAAAGGAAGACATTGTATAATATAGACTATTTTGTAAATTATTGAGATCTTCAAATATACCTGCTGCCATTTCTAACATTTACTATTCTGTACTATGAATGGTCAGTGAAATGCGCAGCAAAGGCCTTTTGAAGGAGAATGATTTGCCGAGTTTGACTGGAGTAGAGAGTTTTTTAAAAATACTAGTCAGAGTTAGGTTTAGAGTTTACCTTTTTGGCCGTATGGCTACTGATGACTAGATAAAATTATTTCTATGGATTTGTGATACAGTAGAAGGAAGAGGCAGAAAACTAAACAGATGAAAGAATGTTATCCCTTTACAAATGCTATGAGTATTTACTTTCTTGTTTGAAGGATCCTGAGAGTTGACCCCATTCACACAGAGAAGACTCTCATCTGCTATGAGGCAGCACGTTGGCTCACACATCCCATGGAGTCTGTGCTCCAAAGTAGTCATAGAACTAGGGCACCATAGAGAGGCTCTGAGATTAAGGAAGCTTTGTTTCTGGTTTTCCTTTAGTAGCCTTCACAGTGGTTTTTCTTTACAGATCCAACTCAAATGACTGCCGAAGTGCCACCTTGCATAAAATTTAGTGTTTTGCCCTTTCTTCTCCTTCACCTGGGAAAGTTTATAGATAGAGTGAAGAAGGCAAGGCACTAGATTCTGACTTTCATCTATGTGGTCTCACCTGTCTCTATAAGGTATTACAAAAACCAATAAATGCTGTTGAATCAACCATTACGATTAATTTTCTTACAGGGTGAAAGTTGAACATGAGTAAGATAAGAATTTAAAAGAAAATAAATCCAGAGCATAAAGTCCAGGAAAAATTCAAAATATAATTCATGATAGATCATTTTGTTTCTTTGTCTCCTATTACCAAAATTATTATCATTGCCAACAGAAATTCTGTATTGGGGTAATTTTGTGGGTAAAACAAATTTGAGCTGGCAGACAGGTTGACTACTTGCAAAGGTAAGCTACTCATACTAAGGTACTCATTTGAGCAAGTATATAATGTTGTAAAGAATCCTGAGGACTTGTAAGTTTATAATTTTGCATTTTACTCCCTATCTTATTTAGGCAAGTAACAACTATATCCCTCACTGCTCATCATCCCCCCACCTCCCCTAAAAAGCTTTCTGAGAACCCAGACTATTGAAATACAGATACAAGGTGCTACTAACTTGAAGGGAAAAAGAGAAAATGATCCTCTAGAGATCCAAAGAAAACCAAGCATATGTGCATGTTTTTTATTCCCAAGAAGAATTTAGAAAGTAGACCCTCTTTCCAGTGGGGTAACTCCATACATGGTCCTTGTCATATTCATAAGCAGTGGCCCTGAAAGTCTATGCTGGCTGTTTGGGAGAAAGCTCGATGCTTTCGTTGCCTCAGTCATCATCATTTATAACATTGCTAATCTATCAGATCTATCTATTGCTGATTATATTCTCCCTGTAACTCCTGCTGATAGTGGACAGCATTGAGTAACAACATACTCATAATTTTGTAGCATCCTGGTCTTTATTCCAAAAGGTTCTCTGAAACAGTTTTATGACTCAGAACAAAACAAAAAACTGGTGTTACCAAGGGGATAAAATCAAAAGAGTAAAAGAAACATCGATTTAAGAAATACGTTACCAAAAAAATATGTTACAATATTAACATTTTTACACTGGCAATATACAATCTAATCAGTCTTTTTTCTTTTGCCAAACTATTGGCAGGAAATATTAATGATTAAGTTTTTTATTAAAATAAAATTTTTCTTTTTACATTGAGAGTTATTAAGATAGCCTCCCTATGATATATTACTTCGCTTACAAGTAGAACTTTGCTTTATGTTCTCTTGAGCTTACTTCCAAGTTGGAGGTGGGAAAGTGCCCAATGAAAGGAATTTAAAAGAATCTTAATTCAAGTTGAACAATCATTTTGCCTTATAAGAAAAGTCCTGCAAAATTTGTCATACAGTTTACTTTGCTATAAATCCAAGATAGAATCCTTTTTACTTTCCGTTTAAAGACTTGGAATGTATCATCATCTGCGTTTCTGTCATTTCACGTGAGTTTTCTTCGGGGGCTGACTTCACAGCACTGGAAATTGATACGCTGACTTGACGTTTCAGCATCTTCATAACCTTTCTCTTATACCCTTTACATGCAAAGAAATATATAAAAGGGTCCATGCAGCAATTGAAGTTCATCAGGCATACTGTAAAGTGCAGAGAAATCTGGAATGAATGTCTTTGGCTGCATACCACATCAGGAAAATGAAGCTTTTTAATCATATGTTGAATAATTGCAACATGGTAAGGTGTGAAACAGAGAACAAACACAACAATGATAAAAATGATTGTGTTGAGAGCCTTTTTGTTTACACCAGATTTCTCAGCTAGTGGATTTTGTTTGGCAGTTTTAAAGAGTTTGCAGCAGATTTGAGAGTAGCAGATGAGAATGATTAAGAGCGGAATCACATATCCTATGAAACATGCACCAAGCAGAATCCAGGGAAGAGATTTTGTTCCTTCAAAGTTTGGATATTCCATGCATGTAATCCGTTCAGCCTCCTGCTTTGACATAGGGTTGATGAGGAGTGGGAGTGTCTGAGCAAATACTAGAATCCAGACAAATATGCACACTCCTTTTGCATGTTCAATCCTTTTCATCTTGTTGTATCGTAGAGGGTGCACCACAGCAAAGAAGCGATCAATGCTCAGGCAGGTCATAAAGTTCACACCTGCATATGTGTTGATATAAAACACCAGAGCAGTTATCCTGCACAAAGCATCACCGATTCTCCAATCAAAACCCATGGCATAGTAGGCTATCCGCGTAGGCAATGCAGTGGTAAAAAGTATATCGGAAATCACCAAATTTGTTGAATAGAGGGTGGTAGAGTTGATTTTTTTCCTGTTTTGAACAATGACAACCAAGGCCAACAAGTTTCCCACAAGCCCAATGACGAAGACAAGGCTGTAATGCAGAGGCATTAATATCCTTGCTGTGTTGTGGTGTGCATAGAGATCACAGTCATCACCCCGAGGGGTTGTAGAGGGTGTAGTAAAATTGTCAGCCATTTTTATATCCATTGGTGGTGGCCAAGCTCTCTAGAAAAAAACAAAAAGGCCATTTAATTAAAAGCATATTCATCCAGTTTCATTACCCATCAGTTAAAAAAAAAAAAAGAAAAAGCACATTTAACTCAAAGCAATATAAAGTGTCTCTCATATATATAATTTTTAGTTATAATATTTATATAATTTTTCAAAATCTATGATATATAATATTGTTGCATATATGATAACAGGAAGAATAGAGAATAAAATGTATGGTTTTACTGTCATGATTTGGTGGCGTTGGCAAAGCCCCGGCAAAGGAAATCGAACCATCTAAATAGGGCAATTGCATTTTTTTGTGAAAAAGGAATGTAATAACTTTTTAGGCAGAAATTCCCCTTTCTTTTCTGAATCATTGTTTGGTTAAGAATAAAATTATGTAAAGCACCCCACATTTTAGACGGGTGCTAAACTTTGCTTTTAAATTGAATTTCAGTTGGACTTTTTTTTTTTTTTTTTGGGGGGGGCCAAGTGTATATCACTGCCAGGAAATGAAATCAGTCATACATTTATGTAGTGAAATATGAACTTACCACAGTGATCTGATTTGTGTTAACCTAAATGTATGAGAAATAAGGTTAGGCCATGTCAGGAACTGAAAGTTAGATTTTCTTTTAAAAAAGAGAAGCAGACGACCACGATAACCATGACTAAAATGACAAAAGGATAAAAAAGAAAATGAGAGAGAAAAAGACTTAAGCTACTTCAAGGCAAATTTTTAAATTTCTAAACTCTGTCGGTACCCCATGGATGCTTGCAGTTTACATTCCTGTGTTTGCACATAGTAGCAAGCATCACACACATGGTATTTTGTGCCCTGATTAGCCACTTAACATCTTCATATCAGTGTAATATTTATATTTGTCTTATGTAGATTTTATGTAGACATTTAATAGATGTTCTACAGTATTCCAGTGTGTTCATACATAATTTGCCTAGCTAGTGCCTTCATGAGCACTTGGATCCTTTCAAATTCCCTTCTTGTTATGTTATAATGTTAAGACAGAAATTTTGAGTCCTAAATTGAAAAATGAAAAACTACTACAGTAAAGCTCCATATGTGAGGGTGAACTTTGATGAAAGCAGGAAGAATAATAAATCCTGCGTGGTTATTTTTAGAAGAAAAATAATTTCTCTTATAGAACTGTCTATGCATAAATCTCATCTGGAAGTCATCAAAATTAAGGGAAACTTTCAACAGATGTGATGCTGCTGCTATATATTAAAGGAAAAAGACTATCTTTACCATGATGCAAAGCACTGTCTACAAATCTACTTCTCCATCTACTGTATTAAATGAATTGGGTCTCTGTAACTTTATTTTAATAACCTTAAATCAGTGATGGTCGCAGGCACTAAGGTTATCGGGGCATTGTGCTTCTGTTAGAGGTGTGCATTACATACACTGTTGAGATGTTAGTCATTACAGTTTGGAAATATAACCTAAAGCAAAAGACAGCAGAGATGGAAATAGAACATTTTATTACCCAAGGGAAGATCAGAAAGGAGACTATGGAAAAAAACAAAGAATTAGGATGGCAAGTAGGAAACACAAAATAAGAGGGTAGGAATGTGTCATAACAAACTTAAGTGGGTTGAACTTGTGTATTAAAAGAGACTGTCAGTTTAGATTTTTTTTTTTTAGAGACGGGGTCTCGCTCTGTTGCTCAGGCGGGAGTGCAGTGGTGCAATTATACCTCACTGCAGCCCCGAACTCTGGAGCTCAGGTGCTCCTCCCACCTCAGCCTTTGAAGTAGCTGGGACTGCAGTAGCTAGGACTACAGGTATGCGCCACCACATCTGGCCAATTTTTTAAAAAGATTTTTTGTAGAGGTGAGGTCTCACTCTGTTGACCAGGCTGGTCCCAAACGGTTTAAATTTTTAAAAAATCCTTTTGTATGCTGCTTAGATATAACTCAAAGTGATTCAGAAAGGTTGAAAAGAAATGGGAAAACCCATATACCAGGCAAATCCCAACCAATAAAAAGATAGAGTAGCAATGTTGACATCAGAAAAAATAGAATTCAAGGCAAATTCAATATTAATAGGAATAAAGATGGTCACTATAAAAGTTAAAAAAAAAAAACAGTACACAAAGAACACAAAAACGATCATAAAATATGCAGGTAACAGCAAAACTTGACAAAATTTGAAAGAGAAACCGGCAAATCCACAACCATGGAGATCATATACATTTCTATTGGAATATACCAGATAAAGAGATTAAAGACTTAGAAGATTTACACATCATGATTTGAAAGCTAATAGAATTTCTGCTGAAGGCACATGAGCATATCTGCAAATTTGACCACATGGTAGGTCATTAGAGAAGTCCCAGAACTTTCAGAAAATCATTATTTAGCAGACCACATTGCCTGACTACAGTGCAGCGAAATTAGAAATCAGTGATGAAAAGATAAGGATAAATTTGGAAACTAAAAAATATGTTTCTAAGGAACTCATGGGTTAAAGAAGAAATCACAGTGAAAATTTTGAAATGCTTAGAACTAAACAACAAAGAAATCTGTGTTCTAAATCTTCTTTCTTAGAACACGAATATCAGAATTAACTTTTTCCTTTTTTCGGAGACAGAGTCTTGCTCTGTTGCATGGGCTAGAGTGCAGTGGCGTTGTCATAGCTCACTGCAACCTCAAACTCCTGGGCTCAAGCCATCCTCCTGCCTCAGTCTCCGAAGTAGCTGGGACTACAGGCGTGCACCACCATGCCGGCTGAAGAGTTATAACTTTCTAATGAAATGGGGTTAGTGTTCCCTAAGCTATCCTTCATGCTCTACACACTGAGGGGCAGGAGTCAGGACGGTAGCCTTTGCCCTGACAGCACAGACAGTGACTGGGCTGCATGAAGTGTGGATCCTCATTCAGGTTGCACCCAAGGAGCAGGCTCTGTTGGCCTTCAAAACACCATTCTTGAAAATTAACCACATGGCAATATAATATATAATACTGTCCACCAAAACTGTAGGATATAGCTAAGGCATTAATCTGAGGTAGATGCAAAGCCTTGAATACATTTATTAAAAAAAGAAAAGATTGAAAATAAGTAAGTTAAATATATAGCTCAAGAAGCTAGAAAAGAACAATTTGTCCAAAGAAAATGGAAATAATAAAGATAATTGCAGGAAGTAATGAAATAGAAAACAAAAGACAAAAAACATAGACTTCATATTTTGTGCAGGGAAAAAATGGAGTGGTTCTTAAATAGGAAATCATGAAGATTGCATTGTGGAATAAAAGAAAACATTTTTTCCATTTGGCTGGGAAGGGCTTCATGTGAGAAGCAACTTTTCAGGAAGTGAGACTAGACACAAGGGAGAGGTGAAAATTCCAGGCAAGGTTTGCAGTTTAGGAACAGGCATCAAGAACTTCTTTTATTAATATTTTTCTAATCTCTGTGAATATGTTTCTTTTTTTCTGAAAAATATCAACATATGTTTTGAGGAGTATTTTGAAGCAATTTCGTGGGAATTGCCTTTACAATACATGGCAGATAAAAAAAAAAACTTTACTGTGGAGTCTGAGAATCTTCCATATGAATAATTATTATTGTAGAGATTAGGAAAGTGACACTAATGTAAGACTCAGAGAAGAAGGTGCCATTGCTTGCCAGTTTGTAAATGCACATCTGACTGCTTCACTGAATGAGATAGGCATCCAAGTAGAGCTAGAAGTAGCCAGGATTTCAGAACAGTTTAAGAGTATTTAACAGTGTTAACTATATAATTATAGTGTTGATTGCAAACAGTTCCTGTATCTCATTCGGGGATTGATTAAATATTTTATGATTTAGCCATACAGTGGAATTTAATGCAGCCACCAAAAATGGAAAAACATAGATGTTTATTCCTTGACAGGAAATTATGTTAAGTAGGGAAAGCAGATTATACATCTTGCCACTTTTTTGGGAAGAAAAACAAATACACACACACACACACACACACAGAAAGATGCCTGCATGGATATATATGCCAAAACATAATATCGTACAAGTGATTTTGGAGACAGGGTCCCACTCTGTTAGAGCAGGCTAGAGTGCAGTGGTATCATCATAGCTCACTGCAGCTTCAAACTCCTGGGCTCAATCCTCCTGCCTCAGCCTCCCCAGAAGCTGGAACTACAGGCACAAACCATTGCACCCAGCTATTTTTTCTATTTTTAGTAGAGATGGAGTCTCACTCTTGCTCAGGGTGGTCTTAAACACCTCAATTCAAGTGATCCTCCTGCCTCGGCCTCCCAGAGCGCTAGGATTACAGGCATAGGCCACCATGTGCAGCCTATCCTAAATTTTTAACACTGAATATAAATTGCCTGAAATGAATAAATAGGTAAAATTTTTTTTAAATCTATGGAAAAGAATTTTAATTCAGCTCTTCTTGCAAAAACCTTGTCATCTAACATACTTTTCAAAGCTTGCTATTCAGTGTTCTTAATTCAGATTTATGCATTAACTTACTGGGTGCCTACCTTTAAATCTAGTCATATAGAAACCTCACAGCAGCCTGAGTCTTGCTATCCCCTACCTACTTTCCAGGTGAGGAAACTGAGGGTCCGAGAGGTTAAAGGTTATGCTGGATCCTTCTTTGTGATGACCCGGCTTCAGGTCTGCTCCTCTGCTAAGTCCTTTGCCGGGGCAGCTGTTTCATGCTGCCCTTGAAGAATTGAGGGTTTGTGGTTTCAAAGTGGTCTAGGCCTTAAGGGCCATTGTTACCTATAAATATAGACAGCACAGGCACACCACGGCCCAGGTGCTCCAGAGCAGAGGGACAACTCTTCCTAAGAGCAGGGGGTGCCCACTTCTAGGAGAGGTACCTTCCCAAGTGGGAAGCCACCTGTGGCCACACATCGTAGTACCCTGAGGGGAGGCCTGTTGAGGGGCCCTCTTACTGACCGCTGTTGTGCTGGAGTTGGCCAAAGAAGGGCACTTGCAGAATGTGGACATGTAACCGGGGTGACTCAGAAATGATCTTAGGTAAA